TGAACCACACAGAAACAATCTCTACTTCTGTGGAGTTTAGAATCTGGAAGGGAAGAGAGTGAGCGAGTTATTCTATAAGTGATGAATTTATTCTGTTTCCAACCTGCGCTACTGTGAGCCGCCAAAGGACATTTAAAAATAGCGTTGGCCAGCCCGACTCCTCATTTCAATACCTGAGGAATAAGGCTAATGGGTCAAAGATCAGAATTTTATTGCCTCCTACATCAAACCAAAGCCCCCCGTGTGATCTGACTTGGATGTATTAATGTATCCTCCACAAAGAGAAAGATGCTCGGGAAATCGAGTGTGATGTTCCCAAATGAAACAATAACTAATATCATATTGCATATTATAGGTCATTAAGTCATATACAATATTCATGTGCTTTTCATAAAAGCCCTATGGATGAGTTAATTAGATAATATATTTTTATTATTCCCAATTATTTTTATAAATGGGAAAATGATAAGTTATTTGATAGATTATATTAAGAAAAAACTGGCTCACTCTATGTAGGAAAAGAAAATGAATTTGGTCTCTCACCTTGTACCATTTGTCAGTATAGATGGAAGACTAAAATGTAAAAAGTAGAACTGATAGAAAAAACATAGCAGACTTTGTGTCCTAGAGGTAAGGAGAGATTTCTTAAATAAGACCTTCAAATTTAAAAACCAAATTAAAAATCTTAATAAATATAGCGACAATAAAATACAGCATTTCTGTTCAATGAATTACACAATAGACACAATTAACAAGCTGGTAGAAGATATATACTTTCTAAAACCCTGCACATTAGCAATAAAACAAAATTATTTTTGATAGTCAAGGGGCCATCAGGTGGCATAGTGGTTAAGGCACTGAACTCCTACATGGCCAGACCTGAAGACTTGAAAAATCACGCCAGGCACATGCACGTGTGTGCCCAAAATCCCAGAAGAATGGAGGAGAAGGGACTGTGGTGTGGCCACCCCCATAGGAGACAATTTCTCACTTTCCCTCTCTCTGAATCTCTCTGATGAGCACCCCAGTTTCTATGGAAAAAATCTGAACAAATAAATAAGTTCAAAGGAGATCATAATTTACAGAAGCAAAGACTAAGTGGCTACTCAGAATATGAAGAGAAGCTCAAACTCACTTGGAATCAGAAAAAAGTAAATTAAAACAAGATACTGTTTTGTACCTGTCTCAATGGTAAACAAAAGAAGGGACGATAATACTAAACATTGTAAGACAAGTAAGATAAACCTGGTAGAGCCATTTGGTGAAGAAACCCAACAGTCTTTAGAAAATATAGCTGTGTGCAGTAAAGGTTCTGCTTCACCAGAATAAAAGACAAAGTTTTTACCATGGCCCCAAAGCCCTGCACAGTCTAGCTGCTCGACACCGTTATCTATCTTCTTTGCCCCTCCAGCATCCTCCTCCTGGTATGAACCGACAGGGTTCATTTTCTCACCTCCTTCAATTCTTTGCTCATGGAGACCTTTCTTGGCCACTTGGTCTAAAATGGCACACAGCCCTCCTCCTCCACTTATTTCCAGATTCTCTTAACTTGGTCCACTTTTCCTTTTCCCTATAGCATTTATTACCTTATAGCATAATACAAAGACTTTAAAAAGTTTGTGGAAAACAAGAATTGGTGCAAAAATAAATAAATAAATAAATAAAATCGAAAGCTACGCCTTTTTGTAGTATGCATTTTCAATGAACTTTTCAAAAACCTCTTGATTTATTTACTTTGCTCATGTGGTATTTTATTGCCTCACTAAATGTCTGTCTTTCCTCACTAAAATGTAAGTCCCATATGAGCAGAGACCTTAGTAGTTGCTTTCAGTGTTGTACCCCAATGACCTAGAATAGTGCCTGGCAAAGCAATTGCTCACTAAATATTCATGACCACAGAGTGAAGGATGATTGCATTACATTAGTTCCTGGCCAAACAATTTATGTTGCTCGTAAACAAGTTAGGTATGCAGAGCCATGCCTGCTACATGCCCACAGTAAGTACTTTCATCTTAAAGATTTAAGATGCATTTACAGCAAATAAAGGAGCGCTTGTTTAATTTTTTATTTTTTTTTTTTTTAGAGCTTTTTGTTGTAGGGCACTTGTGCTCATCATAGAGACAGAGAGACAGAAAGTGAGAAATCACCCTCTGCGGGGGCGGATGCCTTTGCCATAATCCCTTCTCCTTCATTCTCCTCTCGGG